CACTTCCAAGGATGTGTCATCAGGAACGTTAAACGCAATAGTACTAAACGTAATATTTTTTCCTTTGGTACCCGTGTGCATTGCGGCTTCCGGCTTGGCTGTTTCTGACGAAGAAATGAATGGTATGGCTGTAGCAGGCGAGCAGTATGGTGTACTTTGCTCGCGAGGCCGTTTAGTTGGAGGAGCCGGCGTGTGTCGGTTCCAGACAGGCGACATACTAGATGCTCGCCGACCAAATTGGGGTACTTCGGGTGGCAAGGCACAGCTTGCTGCGTTGATCGTCTTTGAGAATGATGCCTCTGCGACTTGCCCTCCTGGTCCATTGGGACGATCTGTACAACCGAGTGGGAACTCGGATGTAGGTGAACAAGTCCCGGGTTTCTTCGCTGGACAACTATTTATCTCCCAAAGTCGCTTGGGTTCATGGGTATCCAAAACCTCCAGTCTTAGAATTTCTGTCACCGAGCAATGGTTTTGTACCATTTGCTTGATCTCACCCTGAGCTAGATCCCCTGAGACATCTAAATCAACTATGTGGGAGGCCTCCATGGTGAGAAAATCCTGCAGAGGATTAGAAGATATTCCAGGAGTCCGCTCATTAGTAGGCTTGGATGCAAGAAGCTTTTCGCAACTGCGTTGCATGGCTGTCTTTGTGTTCACTAATTTTAACACATAAGGTGCAAATGTAATACGACCCAAGTGGGTTGTAATAGCACACGGCTCCAGGGCTTGTGGCCTCAGGGTAGCGGCTCCATCGGTGGCATATTTAGTGCAAATGTAATACGACCCAAGTGGGTTGCAACAGCACACGGCTCCAAGACTGGTGCTCGTTGTACATAAGCTCCATCAGTGGCACATAAGTTGCGAACGTAATAGGACCAAAGTGGGTTGTAATAGCACACGGCTACAAGGCTGTTTCTCGTTGTACATAGGCTCCATCGGTGGCACATATGGTACCAATGTACTAGGGCCCAAGTGGGTTGTATTAGTACAAGGCTACAAGGCTGGTGCTCGTTGTATATAGGCTCCATCGGTGGCACATGTGGCACTAATGTAATAAGAACTAAGTGGGTTGTAATAGCAGACGGCTACAATTCTGGTTCACGTTGTACATATGCTCCATCAGTGACACATAAGGTGCGAATGTAATACGACCCAGGTGGGTTGTAATAGCACACGGCTACAAGGCTAGTGCTCGTTGTACATAGACTCCATCGGTGGCACCTATGGTGCCAATGTACTAGGACCAAATTGGATTGTTATAGCACACGACTACAGGGCTTGTGGTCGTAGGAGAACGGCTCCATCGGTGGCACATATGGTGCCAATGTAATAGGACCCAAATGGGTTGTAATAGCACACGGCTACAAGGCTGGTGCTCATTGTACATGGGCTCCATCAGTGGCACATAATGTGTCAATGTAATACAACCCAAGTGGGTTGTAATAGCACACGGCCCCAGGGCCTGTGGTCTTAGGGTAGCGGCTCCGTCGGTGGCCCATTTGGTGCCTATGTAAATGGACACAAGTGAGTTGTAATAGCACACGGCTCCGAGGCTCGCGCTCGTAGTACATCGGCTCCATCAGTGGCACATTTATTGCCGAGGTAATTGGACCCAGGTGCGTTGCAATATCATTTGACTCCGAGAATTGTGCTTGTAGTATAAAGGCTCCGACAGCAGCGCACTCATGGTATATGGTGAGATAGCACCAGATAAAGCATACTGTTTGACTAAATGTCATCCTAATTTAGTTTCGTCTAAAAGAGTTTAGGTCATTCACCTTCATTTAGGGTTTGGCTTTAAGGCTACTGCATTGCGTAACTACAATTAGTAGGTGGTTATACGTTTCATGTTTACGATGTTTTAACCATGAAACTTTCGCTGTTGAATTTTAGGGTGCTTTGGAAAATATTTTGCGTGACAAAAATTCGTCCATATGGTGTACATTTAGACTCCTGAGGGCCAAACGTCTGGTCATTTGGGGCGTTGAAACACTCGCACGACGGCACACGTTTTCGCTGCTCTCGCGGAAGGGTTGCATATTCCGTCAAGGTTACGCGGTAATCGATTACAGACTTGTAAGTACGTACTACTACAATGACGAATAATTCGTCACTCACGGTGCTCTAAATATCACTTGAGCCGATAGAAAGTACGGTTAAAAAGGAAGCTTTTATGCATTAAACAGCGCCGATAGTGATTTAGAACAATAGTTAACGACATCCATAGACATATAAAAACATTTATCTTCATCTACTTTTGTGTTTCGGCCAGTGGCCAAAAGCACGCTTTAATGGGAAGGCTCGCTGTCCATAGGTATGGATAAAATGACTATTCATAGGTACCATAATTCTGCGTCAGTTTCTTATTATTTCACAAAATCTTTGCTGTTAAAGAAGCCACTAAATATCTGCCATGATGTATCAACTGTTACGAAACGCACAAACCCCTAGTGTTACCTATTTCATTATATTAATAATGCGTTTCACATTAAAATTCCAAAGCTAGAAATATCGACACAATAGGAGACTGAATAAGTAGTCCAAGACGAGAGTATCAGTACGCGGCAAGTATTTTAATAAATGGGCTCAGAGGTAGTACTCTTCTATTTTATAACATGTAGTGAATACTTTCTAATTTAGTTACCAATATTGCATTAGTTTTACGCATGTTTAAGGCAAATATATCTGCATGCATTACACACTTGGATGTTTCACCATTGATACGTAGATACATAGGAACGCGAGTTACATATTGACGCTTTAACAACACAGGGTGCACAGCTGGTCGACTGTGCACTAGTTTAGATTCATTTCGAAACCGCTTTGCTGCACATCTCGTCTGTGTTCTGTTTTGCGTCTACCAAGATCTAGACAAGCCGCCGAGAAGATGCATAAACAATAACCCACGGACTACTAACGGACGCTCGTGCCAACAAGCCTGGAACGTTGGAACATTGGAATGTAGAGAGCAGAAGGAAAGTACTTTGTCAGCTCTATCGCCTCCCGTTCGTCACAGGGATCAAGGTGGACATTGAAAGTCGGTTCCAGTGGAACCGCTGCATTGACACAAGAAGCAACAAGATCCGAGTTTACTCAACAGGTAAGAATCCAATTGATGTTTGAAACATTCCCCCGACTGCGGATCAACGACATACACAGGTAGATTCTTCCATTCCCTCACTACTCTGGTAGACTGAGTGACAACACAACGGACCCGAAGTCTCCTTTGTTTAAACAATTTTCATTGGTGACCCCGAGTCGAACTAAAAGAATTGAGTTTAAAGAAATGCTGCAATTTAACTCCAAGTACCCCTCTAACGAATCGCCGTGTGAAAATCAAATCCCCGCGATCTCGACGGTAAGCTAGTTAGAACAAGCTCAGGCACTAGAGACGATGCGAGTAAGGCAGGTTTCGTAATTCCAGAACGGATTTAGATCCTCTCCGCTGAACTTTACAATCAAGTTGCTTTCAACTTTGGAAAGAGGATAAACAGCGGGCAGTGCATACTCAAGAATCGGACGTACATGAGAAGTGAACAGGAGCACGAAGTTCTCCGGAGTCAAGCGAGAGAAGGATCGTCGTATGGCGAAAAACTACTAGCTGGCAGGAGCGACTTTTCTCAAGGTTTATTTGGTCGATTTTAGGTCTGGGGTCACAACGACGCCGAGGTCTTTCTCACGATTAGAGTTCGGCAGCAAAAACCCACGGATATGATAAACTCCAAATGGTTCGGAGGCACCGATCGGAAGAACGGAACATTTATCGTGCTTTATAGGTAATTGACACCTAATCGACCAAGCATGCAAAGAATTGTGCCTTGTTTGTAGTAAATCCGGTTCATCTAGACTGGGGACTTCCATCCATATCTCTAAATCATCTGGGTAAATCAAACAATCTGCCCGTAGTACAGATGCCGGATCATTAATAAAGACTTTAAAACGTGCATAGCCAAGAACAGAGCCTAGCGGAACACTGCTGGTCATATGTACAGGGAAGGAAAAGGCCTCATTTACTTGCACCCGGAAAGCGTGGTCATGCAGGAAATCAGTGAGCCAAGAGAAGATTTTTCCTGAAACACCAATACTGCGAAAGTTGCTAAGCAAAATTTCGTGTGGAAACTTGTCAAAACCTTTACTAAAATCCACAAATCCGACATCTAGCTGCTTACCAGCATCCATGGATTTAGCCCACTTTTCTCGAGCTACCAGAAGATTGGTGACACATGAACGCGAAGGACAAAACCCATGTTGCGCAGCTGAAATGATCTTGAGGTTCTGGAAGTGCAGGTTGAGAGAGCGCTTAAGAATCATCTCCACAACCTTACAAACGACAGATGTTAGACAAATGGGCCGTTAATTCGTAGGATCTCGCCGATTTCGACCTATGTAAATGGGCTTGACTATGCCCGCTTTCCAGGCAAGCGGAAGACGCCCGGCCTCAAGTGAGCACCGAAATAGGCGGCAGATGGGAACAGCGATATATCCGGCCCCAATCTTGAGGAAAAGAGGATGCAATCCATCCGTTCCCGGGGAAGAGTTTGGATCCAACTCGCACAAAAGTTTGTATACCACAGTAACATTTATGTCCATATCGCTGAGAGCGGAGAGCAAGGATGAATAACAATCAACTGACGGCACCTCCGTTGTATAGACCGATGAATACTGGCGAGCTAAAATATTGGCATTATCAGCATCGTCGTGGAGCACGGTATTAAGAAAGTCTTTACGGTATACTTTGTAGAAATCCAATGTTTTTAACGGACTTCCATCACTGCGAATTAGTTAAATACAGCATCCATGAAAACAGCTGACCTAATTTTAACTTTTAGCATGGCAATGCGCTCACTGTGCAATATTGGACATTTGGGTGAGAAATTTCTTTTTCTAATTAATTTACTAAAGTTACAGCATTTGGTTAACCGTACTGCTGAGCATTCGAATCGGCGAAAAACGTTTGATAGCTTTTTAGCACACTAAAACTCAGTTTTAAGGTTACACTTGATTTGAAGGTCAGCGTCTAGAGGTCAATTTTTTCACCCCCGTCTGACCAATCAACAAACGTCAACATCTTTAAAGTACCCTGCTTGGTCTGCGACTACCGGGCGGCGTTCCACACCGTGGTTCTTGTCTCCGAATTTCGCAATTGATGTTTCCTTTTGATTACTTGGATACTGGCGCTGGATTGCTCGCAGATGGACTTAAAACTGATATTGTTACGATGCGTCTCGTGCTATCTGTTCTGAGCGGTTGGTCTATATTTCTATAGGTTAACTAGGTATAGGTTATCCTCTTGCTATCGCCTACTCCCTTTGTTCCACTCGGTGGTCAATACCACAGCGTGAAATCTTTCTGTTACTAAGCGGAATCTTCCTTTTTGTCTGGAACTTTGGTTAGTTTTTACTTTCCGTCATGCAATTACAGGATCGTATATTATACACATGTTCGTCGGTATTTTCGTCACATTATTTATTGACTACTTCTTTTTGCGATCTAAGCTGAGCGTGATATTTGCATTCGTATTCAACATGGTATGCTTCTTGGTCTTCTAATTACGGTCAGACTTACCTCCTGCTTGGTTCATACATATACAATCATGGCACTTACGACATTAACTGGACTACTCCGTACTGTATTCTGTGCCTTCGTTTGATCGGTCTTACCTGGGACCTCTATGATGCGTCAAAGCCAGAGGTGAGTTTTCACGATCGATCTCATTCGTTATGGCCCAGCTGTTCGCAACGAATGCTGATTATTACTTAACTTTGTCTCTCTGAATGCTTCTGCTCTTCCGTGTCTTACACACTTAGATGCCGCTGCAGTTCACTCAGCTACTATTGTTAAAGCTACAGAAAAAATCGCCTCTAATCCACGAAATAATCTGACAAGCAATGTTGGTTCCCTGCATGTCGATGACAAAACTCCTTATTGAATCCCAAGTCGGCCGGTGGCCGGGTGGTCTGCGCGCCTGGTTTGTAACCGTAAGGTCACCGGTTCGAATTCGTGTAGGGATGAGTGTCCTCGCGGTATACTCAGCCCACGCGCGACGTGGTGGTCACGTGGCAACGAATCGGCGTACAGCTGGCGACTTATTTTCGTTGTACCATTGTATGGTAGAGAGCAGAAGGAGAGTCCTTTATCAGCTCCGTCGCTTCCCAGTCATTTCTGGGGTTATTGCTAAAATAGGGTACCATAATGAACCTTAAAGCTGTTGTGAAGCACTATCCAGGCACAGTTATCAGGTGGGAATCCAACAGTTTCTTGAAACTTTCCTCGGACTGCGCATCAACGACGAGCTCCGGAAGGCGATTCCAGCCATTAACCACGCGCGTGGATAGCGCTAGCTCTGACCGCACATGGAGTCTCCTCGAATTGAACAGTTTCCATCTGTGACGACGTGTCGGAGTTTCAGTGTTCAGATGAAAGAACTGCTGTAACTCGCTTTATAACTCTCCTCTTAGGATACGTCGAGCGTAGATCAAATCGCCGCGACGACGACGGTAGTCCAGAGAGAAAAGGTCTAATCGCTGGAGGCGGAGAGGATAAGATAGACACCGCACCTCTGGCACACATTTAGATCCACGGCGTTGTTCCTTCTCAACCATATCGCATTCGATTTTCGTTAGGGGCTGAGCAGCTGGCAAACCGTACTCGAGAATTGGTCGCGCATGCGAGGCAAACAGGAGTCTGAAGAGTTCTGGAGTAAGACGGGAGAATGTTTTTCGTAAGGCATGAAACATCCTGTAAGCAGCAGCGAGCGTTTTCCGGGTGTCCTCAGTTGTTTTGAGGTAAGGAGACACAATTACTCCAAGGTCCCTTTCCTGAGCGACATTTCTAAGCAAGAAACCTCCAATGTGGTACACCCCAAATGGTTCACGAGCACCAATCGGGAGTCCGGAATAGTTATCCCAGTTGATAGGTAACTGCCATTTTCCCGACCAATCGTGTAGACCGTTGAGATTTTCTTGGAACCTGTCTGCATCCTCTAGACTGGATACCTCCATCCAAACTTTCAAGTCATCTGCGTAAATCAATTATTCCGTATGCAGGTCTGAAGCGAGATCGTTAAGTAACATATTGAAGAGGACGGGGCAAACGATAGAACCTTGAGGGGCACCACTGGTCATAGGGAAAGGATCAGAAAGCGTATCATTCACCCCTACTAGCGCAGAGCGACTGTCCAGGAGAGAAACTTCCCAACAACGCCAATTCCGCGGCGTTTAAAATGAAGCCGCTAATGCGGAACCTTGTCAAAGGCTTGCTAAAATCAACAAACACAACATCCAATCGTTTACCAACATCTAGTGATCTCACCCATTTCTCCCTTGCTACAAGCAAGTTTGTGATGCATGAGCGAGCGCTTCGAAATCCATGCTGGGCACAAGAGATAAAATCTAACTTTTCGAGATGGAGGCAGAGCGCGCGTTTTAGTGTCCGTTCCATAACTTTGCACACTACAGATGTCAAACAAACAGGACGATAATTCGCTGGATCTTGTCGGTTTCCTCCTTTATAAATAGGCTTGATGATGCCCGATTTCCAGGCAGCCGGAAGACGTCCAGTGACAAAAGACAGACGGAATATCTGACAGATAGGTACGGTAATGTGCTCGGCTACAGTTTTAAGGAACAATGGATGTAGGCCATCAAGGCCAGGCGAAGAATACGGATTTAAATTAAGAAATAGCTTCAGTACAAAATCAGCGTTAATATCCAAGTGCTCTAGCAAGGAAGGAAGAAATGGCAAGAAGCTGTCAGGGGGAGACGTTTCTGTTGAATACACAGAGGAATATTGCTTAAGTAAAAGGTTGGTTTTTATATCTTCGTGAACTAAAGCAACATGCTCACAGGCACACAAGGCCAGGTTGCCATTGCCGACTCTGGTACATCGTTTGATGTACGAGAAAAGCGCTTTGGATGTGGTCCTGGAAAGAGTAGCTAAGGACAGTTCGTATAGTTGACGTTTCTCCCGTTTCTGCAAAGTACAAACATTCCTGCTTGTTTTATAGCGAGAATAATCGAGGTCTGATCGTGTTAGCTTAAAACATTTCCACAATTTAAACCTTTGTTCATAAGGGATAGTAATTGGCGATCTATCCAAGGTGGGCCTTTAGAAAACGGTCTTCTCTTGGCGACAGAGACGAGCTGTTCGATGGGTGACATCAGCTAGCAGTACAAAAGATTCCACGCATCATCAACACTGAGGTGCCCAGGGATACTCCAATCCACAACGCTTGCAGCCGTTTTCAAGTGAAGTGCATCTACACGCCAGAAATTCCGACGGTCGGTACATTGGCTGTGGACAGCGAAGCGACGAGTCCACTGAAAAGAAACAGCACAGTGATCACTTCTGCCAATGGGCTCGATAACAGCTAAGTTTGTGATGTCTGATTGCGCTGAGGAAAGCACAAGGTATAGGATGTGCGGTGTCTGATCTGGGAAAATACGAGTTGGCATCATGACATGTTGAAAAAGGTTGCAATCCAGGACGGTTTCGAGTAAGGCGGAATCGAAGTGGTCGAATGGGCGATCACAGATAAGGAAATTCCAATGGATATCTGGTGTATTAATGTCCCCCACGATAGGACAGTTGTTGCTTCCACCGTGCGCTCTGATCGAGTCCAACAAGCTCGCCCCGGAGCCTGATGGCGCCCTGTAGACGACACAGATCAAGATATCTGTATCCGTCATGCACACGGCACCAAAGGGCTTCACAGTTGTTATCATGATCACCAATTGCTTCAACCACATGCGCTTTCAGATCCGCCTTCCAGTAGAGCATTACGCTACCACCAGACCTTCCGCCGTGTCGATCGGACCGGGTGAGGTGATATCCAGCGATAGCCGCTTCTGAGTCTGTGATTTCTGGGAGTAGCCACGTTTCAGTGAAGCCCATCAGATCTGGAACCGTCGCAACGAGATTGGATCTTGACGTGGTGCGACGGTTTGCGTACCTCATTGACCCATTGAGCTATACTGGGTGATGCATTCAGGCACCTTGAGAGCTACTCCTACCAGGTTGGTCACTGGTGAGAGGTCAGACAAACTCAGTCTCCTGGTCCTTCAGGTTGGGGGTTTGAAATGCGATGGCGTCCTTTTCTGTAAAACTAAATCATCGCCACCTCCCCGCTGCCTTGCGGACAGACTTTACAGCCAAAGGCTTTGGATGTGGACCCTAATTGTCCTCCTGTCTAGGTCTGGGCGCCCTGGCAGTATGGCAGTTCATATACAGCTATGACATTTTTTTCAAACATAAACTTCGTCCTGCATTGTCCGTCGCGCAGATTATCAAAGGTCGCCTTATCTGCTGCATACAGCAGGGCGGATAAGCGAAAACATACTACTACCTCCCTTCTTTCTTTTCCACCTGTTTCTCTTACTCCCATCCCGACCCCCATTACTAACCTTCCTTCTATGATTCCCAGCTTAATTGACTGAACCCGAAATGCCACTGGAGTAGAACCATCTGTAGTCACCATCCCACAGCACCTATCGGACGCTTATCGGCAAAACCCTTATAAGGCCACGCTATCCCGTTTCCATGGCGACATTCAACGTTCGCACTTTAAGACAAATAGGTCAACAGACTGCACTCGCACGCACCTTAAACACACTGGGTATTGATGTGTGTTGTGTGTCCGAAACTAGGATCAATGACCCTAACGGGGTTATTGAATTAACTGCACCCGGCTTATCCTCTCATTATTGGTTGCACGCATCCGGAGACGCCGATGCAGCACTCACGGGTCAAGCTGGTGTAGGTATCATTCTAAGATCCAAGACTGAGCCATCGTTGGTTGATTGGACTCCGGTGAGTAGCCGTTTATGTGCAGCCCGTTTGATGACATCAGCTAAGATGGATTCACGAAGCAATACAAAACGCTGTTTGTTTGTGATTTCCGCTTATACTCCCACCGACTGCAGTTCTAATGCTGTCAAGGACACATTCTATGACGAACTGAACGCGCTACTACGCAGTGCTACTAGTTCAGACATTATAATACTTGCAGGGGATATGAACGCACAAGTAGGGCGTCAGCTCTTCAGAAGCTCAGCTGGGTGGTAATTATGAGCTTAACTCCGAACGGACTGGCAACGGTGAGCGTCTGCTGCAACTGTGTGCGGAGCACCAGTTGTTTCTTACTAGTACTGCTTTTAGACACAGTGGGCGCCGAAGTGCCACTTGGCGTCCTCGTGTAGCTGGCCAGCGATGGACCCAAATTGACCACATAGCCATAAGTTACAGGTGGCACGGTTCCATCCTGGATTGCCACTCGTACTGGAGTACCTGTGTCGACTCTGGTCATGCCTTGTTACGCTGTCGTTCCTCGTTGAACTTTACCGGGAGGCACGCCAAGCGTCTCCTCCAATTGACAACAGAAAAATTGTCTCAGCCCTCAGTCAGGCAAGTCTCTCAAGACGCACTGCTTACCGAACTTTCACTGTCTTGTACTAATGACACTGAACTTCAGTGGAATAAGATCTCGGCCGCCATGCGCTACGCAGGAGCATCTGCTTGTGGCAATATCCATCGTCACCACACCAGTCACTGGATATGCGAGAGGTCGGTGAACCTTTGGGAATCTAGAAGACACCACCCGGCTGGCTCTTAGCACAGTGTTATCGGACGGGCTATTAGGCGTGAACTAAAGGAGAGCCTACGTGCTGACAGGGAAGCCTGGTGGACCAGTGGGG